TTTCTGTTTTATAAGGCCTGGAACAAGCATAGAGCCAGCAAAGTCTGCAAAATCCAAACTACCTGCATGCTTCTTCAAGATCAGTAACTCTTTATGTAGGATAACCAGGGTGGTCTCACAAATTAACTTGGCAATGGCAGCCTAAATATTTCTCTCAGCATGGGTTAACTGAAAGTTTCTTATTCTTATGAATTACAATGCAGAATCTACTAGGGAGGCAATGGCCCCATACTGTTGATCTCAACAGCCCCCAAAATATTGGTGTTCGCAGCCCTTTAATAGAATGTCCTTTGGAATACACAAAGGAGAACCAGGAGCCTTCAGCTCACAGCACAGTTCTGCAACATGTGTCTCTAACAATAAACTACAACTTGGCAGCCAGACTGCAGTGCAGCTTATTGTCTCAGCCCTGGCTTTGGGTTGGGGAAAGAGCTCTTTGCCCTGATCAATGACAACTGTAGAGATCCAGAGGGGAATGTATAGGTTTTTTTCAGGTCAATATATAAAAGATCAGTTTAAGTAATCAATCATATCACTGTTTTAAAAAAGCATTGCTTCTACATATAGCTAGTAATTATATACACTATGTACATATTGTACTCTACAGAATGTACATGAAGCAGCCATATTTTCTTATTGGCTTTCTTCTTTAACAAAGTGGGTAAGAACATTTTTCTTTTATTCTCCTTTGCTGAGATCTGTGAACAATCTATAAGTATGGGGAGCAATTAACAATTGCAAAATACAATTGACATTATGAGAAAAAAGGGGAAGAAAATATTACTAAACATTTGTTTTCACTATATTTATGTTTTACTTCCCTTTCATTAGTAACATTTTGAGTGCTCATTTATATAGCGGGATGATGATTTCACGGGGTGTTTACAACATCCCTCAACACCGACTGCAAAATATGTGACGGTAAAGTTCATTGCAGACAGTTTATCAGAAAAGCTCCACAATCAAGCAACATTTATATCATTCTCAGCTCAAAATGTATTCTGTTTCTAGCTGTTTCTGACCTAAAGTAATTCAAGTTTATTTCAAAGTTAATAGAACTTTATTTACTACTGCTTTGTGACTGGCAATGGAAGCTGCCTTCCTCAGTTATTCACTAATATAGATGGTTATAAAGTACAAGGAGTTATTTCTAGCATGGAAATAGTTGTCATAAGAGGATTTTTACATGTTTCAAGAGACAACTTAACCTTTGAATAAAGATTGGTGAGAGGCACTTAAACACCAACTCTTAATTTTGTTTTTATTTTGTGTTGGATTGAGCAGGGAAGGATTAGAGCCTCTATCAGACTTTAAATGTTGTCTGTGTGTCTGTTTAAAAGACTATTTTTTTTCCACAAAGCTGTAGATTCCATCATTGGGACATATTGAAATTCTTAACCAAAGGGGTTGCATTTACTTAAAGTGATATTAAAGCTTCTTTTTTTATTTTACTTTTCCATCTAGGAGGCCCACCTTCTTATGAATCTTCTTTTCTATTTCTTAAAAAAAGCTTCTATTCCTCGTTTTCTAGTGGGTCCCCGCATGCTCTCCCCCCTGCCCCCTGCATGGATGCCTCCATGCGCTGAGTGGCTGCTATGGAGGCACCCGTGCCTGTTCCCACAGTGGCTGCGTGCGTCCATAGACACACACAGCCCTGTGGCAGGCCACGCCCCTACTCTCCTCCCTAAAGGGTGATTGAAGGCAGAAGTAGCCTATGGCTCCTATGCCCTCAGTATCCTCCCCCCGCAACCAGAAGGTTCGGGGAACAGGAGGATCAATTTGCGGACTGGCGGCGGTGACAGCGCTGACATGTAAGTTGTGTGTGGGGGATGGGGAAAACAAAAAGGTACTTATCGTTTTTTAACTTAATGCGGAGAATGCATTAAGACAAAAAATGAGCAGACTTTAATACTACTTCAAGGCAGGGTTAGCGTTACAGGTAGGGTTAGTTGAAGGTTTAGTGTTAGTGTTATGGTTAGTGTTACTTGGAGGTTAGTATTAGGGTTGAAGGGAGGTTAAGCTGGAGAGTCATTATTATAACAGGGAGGGTTTGTGTTGGTTTTACAGTGGTGAGTTGCAGAGTTAATGTTAGGGTTATACAGAAAAATGGTTCCCTCAAACACAAGGAGATCCCAAATATAGAGCTGGATATTAAATAATATAACAATATAATATTAGTAAACGTTTATTTAGAAAAGTAGAAAAAAAACACACAATACGGACATTTAAAATTCTAAAAAGCAAAGCTACCATACAATGGCTCGATTAGAAACTGTAAATCTGTTGGCATATGTTCAGTGCCGACACAGACATCAATCACAGCCTGAGGAAAAGCCTTTAAGATCATACGGCCGTGCCAATGGGACGAGATAGTAGGAAACTCATTCCCAGGGTTAAATAGACTTGGCATCCGAGCCGCCGTAGCAGCTGTAGCTCTAAAGTGAATTCACCAGTATTAGCAAGTAACTGTGAATAAGTTCATTATGCCATTTAATCGCATTTGTTGTTAGCCATTTGGGAAGCTTAGATCACTCTACACCCTAACATGTTTCTCCCCAAAGAGGGGCGTAATGTTAGGGTTACAGGGTGGGTCAGTGGCGTAACAATCACCATAGCGACCCAGGCGCCTGCTATGGGGCCCGGGGCACAGTGGTGCCCAGCCAGATGCCGTGCAGCCACCTGGGTTGCTATGGCATCCTCTGCTGGTGGCTTTCACTGGCGGCTCTGAAGAATGCGCTGCTGTTCAGATCACTGACAGTAATCTGTGCAGCAGCGCGTTCCTCTACACAGAGTCAATGAGAGCCAGCAGCGGCAGTAAGGCAGGCTGGACCCGGCAGTGGAGGAGGAGGCGAGGCCCGTGGTCGGCAGCAGGGGAGGAGGCGGGGCCCGGCGACGGAGGAGGAAAAGGAGGCGTACTGGTAAGGAGTGCGACCAGCCCACCTGAGGGTGACCCTGCAGAGCCCACCATAGAGTTTATATGGTGGGCTCTGCAGGGTCACCCTCAAATGGGCTCTGCAAGTGGTATAACTAGAAATCACGGGGCCCCATACCAAATTTTGCTATGGGGCCCTGTGATTTCTAGTTACGCCCCTGGGGTAGGTAATTGGAGAATTGAACTAGAGGGAGGGCTAGCATTACGTTAAGGGTTAGTTTGGAAGGTTAGTGTTGGGGTAGCAGGAAGGGCTAGTGGTAGGTTTACAGGGGTTAGCTGAAGGGTTAGTGTTGGGGTTAAAGGGATGGTTTAGTGTTAGCTTTACCAGGGTTAGTTGGAGGATAGAGTTATCGTTACAGGGAAGGTTAGTTGAAGTGTTAGCGTTTCATTTTAAGGTTACTCTTGGGGTTTTAAGTAGGATTAGTTGCCAGGTTAGTTAGGGCTACAGGTAAGGTTACAGCATGATGGTAGCACACAAAGCATCTCCTCCAAAATGTATCTTTATTTCATACTGTAGAGCCCATAAAAGCAACACCGCCACATATTTGTGACCTGCTGGACCATAGTCATAACCTTACAGGTAAGATTAGTTGGAGTTTGAGTGTTAGGGCTATTGGGAGGGGTAGCACAAGGGTTATAGGTAGGGTTAGTTGTCAAGTTAGTGTTAGGTTTCCAGGTAGGCTTTTTTTTTTTCTTTTGATGTGGATGGAAGCATGTTCCTTGTCTCCTTTCAAAGCAATAATGCTTATAATGATAGTCCCTTTAACAGTGCAGGTTTGCAATGAAAATCCCCAGTTGATCTCCATACAGCTGCTTTCTATTCAGACGCGTCTCCATAGACCATATTGTTTCACATTCTTATAATTGTGTTTGTGTTTATACTTGGAAATGTGAATGCATCCAGCTGCTGATGGGCAGTAGCGGTGATTCTTTAGCACGTCGTATACTGAGGATGTTTGCATAGCTTGGCTGTGTTGTTGATTTCTTTTTATGAGTCTAAATACAGTTTTACTGCTTGATTTATTATCAGTGATGGGACCAAAGTTTACTTTTGAAAGGCTTTTTTTTATGTCTTAGTTGCTTATTTGAAAGCCACAAATATAGACTTGGACAAATCTTTAATTTCAGTGTTTTTTATGCTTTAGATTAGCCTATCCATATCTTTCTTGTTTTCTTCTCCTTTTTTTTTTCTTTTGCTTTTTTCTCTTCCTTTTCAGTTTTGTCTGTTATTTTGCTTTCTTTATCTTTTTGTACTACTATTTTATTAGGTCCTCCTCCAACCATCACAGAGGCCTCCTTCAGACTTGAGGCCTAGTGAAACACTTTCCACACTCAAGTATTCCCAGCCCCAGGCCTATCCTGGGGGCAGGCTGGATAGCACCCAGCCCTGACTGGACTCTGGGCTATTGCAGGCTGGACTGAGCACATGGCAATTCACTGGAGCATTTATACCCTATTCCAGCTTGCAACACTGGCTGTAAGAACCCCAGTGATTGGCTGATGGACTGCACACACACTCACAGTGCCCCTCATTGGCTGTCCCACACTGCAGCAGAGTCACACTGCACTCAGGCAGGTACAATCAATGCCAGAACACCTGGAATTAACCAGATAAATGCCAACTATAATTCAGCCAGACTGACTATAGCTCTGGCGATCAATACATTTCTAGTAGCCCCCTCACAAAACGTTTTGCAACAACATTTGCAACAGCATCACTGTGCTGCACATAACCTACGCAGAGAGCAGAGCTGTGGGAGAGGACCAATAGGCCCCACCCACTTCTTGCTGCCTGCAGAAATCTACAGGAGAAGGCAGATACAAGACCAGTTATCCAGCACAAGGAGAGAGAGCAGCAGTGACTGGTCTTTATTATAGAAAGCTCCAGCACAGAGGCAATGTCTTTTGCTGGGTAACTGTACAGGTCTGAAATAACTACAGAAAGCAGACCAAGATCCAAGAAAGAATACACTTGTATTTGCTCAATATTTATCTATCCTGGTTTATTTTAAAACGTAGCACATTTTCTCTTTTTTTCATCGTCATTTCTGTTGATTTCTCATTACAGGCATTGGATTTCACATCATAAGCCAAAATGACAGATCTCGTGACTCCAACCCCTGCAGAGATCCCTAAACACATACTGGACATTTGGGTCATCGTTCTCATTATTCTGGCCACTATCTTGGTGATGACATCAATGCTTCTCTTTCCGGCTGCAGCTGTCATCATGTACAGAGTACGGACTCATCCAATCCAAAACAGCCAATAGCAGCATGGAGGAGAACTGTAATTAACACCACAGAGGGGTTCAGTGTCATAATGTGGACAGGGTACATCAGTTGGATAAGGATGCGAAAAGACAATCAATCTGCAACAGGCCATGTAGCTTGTGCCACTTGCTGTATTTTACACATGGATGTGAATGTTTGAGTATCTACAGTGTTGTTCTACATCATGAAGAAACACCATGAAACAACAGAAAAACTGTTATATTCACATGAGTTTTCATACTTTATAGAATATATATATATATACAGGTGAAACTCGAATAATTAGAATATCGTGCAAAGTTCATTTATTTCACTAATGCAACTTATGCGGTGAAACTAATATATGAGATAGACTCATTACATGCAAAGCAAGATAATTCAAGCCGTGATTTGTCATAATTGTGATGATTATGGCTTACAGCTCATGAAAACCCCAAGAACCCCAAATCCACAACCTCAAAAAAGTAGATTATTACATGCAATCAATAAAACAAGGATTGTACATAGAACAATATCGGACCTCTGAAAAGTACAAGCATGCATATGTACTCAGTACTTGGTTTGGGCCCCTTTTGCAGCACTTACTGCAATTACTTTTGCACGATATTCTAATTATTCGAGTTTCACCTGTGCAATAGTGAACTAAGACAAAAATATTAAAATGATGGAGTAATAAAACTGCACATTTAATTGTCCTTATTTATCATTATGGCTGCTTCCTGGACTTATTCAGTCATGGAGAAAATAAAATACCATCAGTTTTTCTTCTGAAGGCGGAAATCCTCACAGTCAGTATTGCTTTTGATAGTTAAAAACAACATGGAGTGAGTTTTTTTTTTTTAACAGATGTCCCCATACAAAACTCATTGTATGTATACTCAATCGTGAGCATTTCATTGCCTATTTAGACAAGTTATGGTGAGACAGGCCAGAAGAAGCCACAAAGCCCTCCAAAGTACCAGTGTGAAGAGCCTTATTATAATGAAGGTATCTTCATGTCTCACTTCCATCACACATTCCCAAATTAATATTTAATTCCTTATTTTAGGACACCATGCAAATCATTCTTTATGCCTTTTGGACAATTATGCGCCCATAACCATTGACATATTGCACAGCCTAATATCATATTATAGAGCCATTTATTCTAAACTGCTCTGGATACACAGCCTTGCAAGGGGCATAAATAGATGGATTTTTATGGTCCCATCCATTGTCCTAAAATGAGAAATAAACCCCTTGTTTTGGGGATTTGTGAATGAAGTAGGACATGAAGATACCTTCTGCTTTAAAAAGGTTGAACTGTGCGTTGCCTATTCAGAAACAGGAGATACTGCTAATGTGTTTTTATAGCTAAACCTCTATGACACACAACACATTGGAGAGCGGATCAGCCATCATCACATTCATCTGGTATAAAGATTTATTATTAAAATAAATTAGCAGGAAAGCAATAGGTGGCTGCCATTGCTAACCTTTTTCTGAAATTGCTAGTTGACTGGCTTTCATGATTCACCGCTAGCTTAAAGCCTATCTCCAGGCAAACAAAAAATGTACCCTTGCAGAGGGGCTACCCCCACACTGTAAGGGTTATATGCTAATTTTTGTCTAGGGGGCTGGTGTAAAGCAGATTTACTTACATGATCCCTGCTCCTGCTGGCTCGCTTGGGGCTTTGAGATTAGTCCCCACAGCCTCTTCTCCCCTTGGTTCCGGTGGTCTGAGGCCCGCTGATATCATCACATCTAATGCAGGTTCCAGAGTGGAGTTCAGGTGATTAAATCTGCTTTCCTCCAGCCCCTAGACAAAAGCGAGCACTTAAACCTTGCAGTGCAGGGGGTTGCCCAACTGCACGGGTACTTTTTTGGGACCTTTTTTTTTTTAAGTGCTTTCTTAGGAGAGCAGATTTCTGCATAGCCAACATAGTCCATTTCCTATTGATATCACGTTGCTGACTATAAGTAACAAAATCCCTGTGTACAATAGGCCTCAGACTGCCACCCTGCCTGTCAGTGCAATGCACCTATTGTCCCTGCATATGTGCAGAGATGACGCCAGCGAACCTCTATGCATCATCATGCATGCAGGGTTACATCGTGATGCCCCCCAGGGAACTGGTTCATGATGCCCTGCACTCATAGTATGTCCTCAATCTTCTGTTTCATTCAACCCAGAAGCAGTGGCGGACCTGATAACCAAAGGGCCCTGGTGCAAGATTTTATCTTGGGCCCCCTTCCAAGACGGGGGGGGGGTGCAGGAGTGGACCACACTGGTCCCCGAACCCCCCTCCAAGCGGTCTCTAATGTTGCAGTAGCGTGCTGGACTCACCGGAGGCCCTGCAAAGCACACCATAGATCCTGCATAGCCCACCTGAGACTCTCTATGGTGGGCTCTGCAGGGTCCCAGGTGGGCTGGTCGTTGGGGTCCCTTTCCCTGTACCTCCTCCCAACTCTTCTTACCTGCTGCTGCTGGGACCTGGCCTCCTCCGCCCCCTCTTGTCACCTCTGCCATGCCGCCCCTGGCACAGCAGATACCAATGTAAGGGGCCCCCTTAGGCTGCCCAGACCACTCACATGGGTACCGGCCATACCCCCCAGATGGCGGTGTTCTATCAAAGTTTGTGACTACGTTAGAATGTGTAACCGGTGACGTGGTCACACATTTTAAGGTAATCCCACCTAGTTTTTTGGCGATGGAATGTGTGACCGCCAATAGGTGAAGAATTCCAATGCTTTGTCAGCTGTTCCAGGGCAGATCGGCCACGCAGATCGGATGTGCAGGAGAACCGATCTGCCCTGGAACAGCCGATCGGTCCTGAAATGTTACTTCTATCCGACTTTGTGAGTGCGATCTCACATTCCACCGTACTCACAAAGTCGGATTGAAGTGACATTTCTGGACCGATCAGTTGTTCCAGGGCAGATCAGTTCTCCTGCACATACGATTTGCGATGCCGATCTGCCCTGGAACAACTGAGAAAGTGTTGGAATGCTTCACCTATTGGCAGTCACACATTCCACAAGGTGAGTATAACTTTTTTTATATTAGCACCTCGAGAAGTTAACCCTTGCAGTGCAAGGGTTAATAAAAGTTTTGCCCAGAGTTTTTCTTTAACTTCTGGACAAGTATTGAGGCAAGACCTAATGATAGCTTATGGATGGGAAGTTTATTTTTTTATGATCTTAATCAGTCTGCAGTTCTTTCTAAGTCCCATAAATATTAGATTATATATGGATTTTGCCTTCTTCACTGTCAGAATGCCTGAAAAAGAGATAAGACACATAAAACTTAAATAGGCTTAGCTGAAAATAAAGACAGTGCTGCAAAGTTTTCTTTCTCACGACAAAAGAAAAATGTTTTTCTACCAGTCTGGCATCAGTGGGTGAAAAAAAACGTTTCTAACATGCTGGCCTCTACCATGGTCTCATCATGACTAAGACATGGGGCACAAATAGGAAAAAGGAAGTGGAGCTTTGTTTGTTACAGATTCAAACTACTGAGAAGGATTAATGGTCACACAAAACCAATATTCTTATATTATTCAATATATTATTCAATTATTATTATTTTAAATTGTCTATTAACGTGAATCTAAAGGCAAAACGTCCTTGTTAATTTTGGATAGCATGGTGAAAGGTAAGACCCCCTGTTTTAAACTGTATGTTACCCCAAAAACTGGTACCACATGTATGCGTGTATTTGTACAGCCATTTGCCAAGCAAAATTGAATGGGCATTTGTTTTGTGGGCATAGGGGCAAAAACGCACATTTTAGCATATATTTTTTTTCCTGAGCCAATTCCATTTCAAATACTGCATTGTGGCCACTAGATGGAGTTGGGGAGCATAGGAAATAAATACATCACTAGCTACATCTAGTGGTCATAATGTGATATTTAACTGACATTACATTTGATCTAATTATTTATTGCCTCTGTTTGCACAGAACAAATGTAAGGTACGTGCAATTTCATGGTAATGTAGCCTGTTTTTTATTGAGATCCATATTCAATTTGAAATACTTGGATATCCTGGCAGTTCCCCCTCTCGCCTGTTATATTCTGATGATGCAAAGCATGGAAGCAGATCTGTGTTGGCGTGGTCAGTTTTCATTTCTCTTCTTCCCACATGGAGACACAGGACGCCATGCCCACATTTCATGAGCGACTATATCCGAACACTGCGGACAGCTACGGCCACTGTCAGCCTGCCATTGCATTATACAGGTCTCAACTATCTGCATCCACCTGTGAATCCAGCCACAGGAATCTGCTGGATTTTTGCTGCAGCTAGGGTTGCCACCTGTCCAGGATTCACCCGGACAGTCCAGGTTTTGAATGCTGTGTTCGGGTTTTATGGCATCAGAAACCCGGACACAAGATGTCAAGCAGACAGGGACAACCAAAATTAAGACTGGCCCCCACTGAAAAACTGAAAACAGTCTCAACTGTGATATTTACATATGAATGGACGGCACAATTTACATATGAATAAGCTACGACTTATTCTCCCAAACAAATGTCTGCGCGTCGCCTGAGTGTTCGGGTTTCGCTTGAAGAAAAGGTGGCAACCCTAGCTGCAGCTGGCTCATGTTTGCCATGTGAATGAGGCCTAAAAAAAGGCCTAACCAGAAGTTATTAAAGTGTAACAAAGTGACAACAAATTACCCCCTGCAGGTAAACTATTCACACTGCAAAAATTATAGTAAATTGTTTGCAGATTTATACCTTTCTTTTCAGGAGAAATGAATCTTTGTTTCACCTGTTTCAAACTAACATGACAATATCTTGACCTGCTTTTATTATAACTACTTCCTGCAGTATCTGTTTTGTAATGAGATAAATAAACATTATTGTGCAGGCCTTAAATGAGTTATCACAGTATACTATGCTGTTATAACATCATCATTGTAATAGGAATACATACTAGAGTTTTGTTTTATAATGCAATCAAAGATTACTAGAAAAAATCCCTTTTATTTACTGAGTGCTGCCTTCTGTCTGTACATCACTTTCAACAACTTCCTGGATCCCCAGTGTGCTTTGCATCTCTTTCCTTGCTGCTTGATATGATGCAATCCTGATTTTTCAACATTACATACCCC